AAAGTGCTGCAATGCCACTAAGCTGATGTTAGCTTGGAGGATAGAGCTATTTGAATCCAGATTGCAAATGCCTGTTCTGAGAAGTTCTGGTGAAAACTGCGAAAGTGCAACGAAATGAGTCATTTAGAAAAATTTAGGAATGCCCCCACTCACCCGTATGTAATACAATTGCGCTTAATCCCCTCATTAACTCCCACTGTTTAATAAGTAGATTTTGTCTACCAATCAATGTCGCTGGTGTCCTACCGACTGCTGGCCATTGTTACATGTTTGGTTTGACTACTGGCACACTTGCACTTTTCACATGTCCAGATTCAGTATGTTCTCGGTTCTAGCCATTGATGCTACTCTGCCATCCATAGCAAATGTGACAGTCGGTTCCTGTGGAGCGGATATCCCTTTTATTGTTCACCTGTCATAGTTTTCCTCGTTCCGTTTTGGTTTTTTTTTGCGAATTGGAGTTAATTTGGTTTCTTATGCGACAGTCATGTCTTCCGTTAGCTTTTTCTTCCTGGCTCGGCTTCGAAAACGCAATTTTGATTGTTTCCTCACAGTCGGTTGCCTCGCTGCCTTCAGAACTCGCGTGAAAGTTTTTTCCTCCCTTCTCGAGAAATTACGGCTGTTCTTTTATGTTTCTATTTTTGGCCAGCAGCCTTCTGTTAAGTTTTGCCAGTCGGTCGAAATGCTTTCAGGTTTAAGAAGCGTACGGCCTGATTCGAATATGTCTGCTTGTTCGTGCGCTTGTGTACTGACATTACTGCAGTCCGATTTCAGTAGACTATATAAAACTAAGTTCCTTTTGTTGAGTTTTGTCATAGCTATGCAAATGTTTCATTCTAATTAATTTCAGCTTGTGAATTATTATTTTGTTTCTGTCCAGAAACAGGGCTGAATTATGATGTAGGCAAAAGTGTCGCTAAAAAATGTCATCCTATCTTTTGTGTTGCTGAATGCAAGCCATTGATTGACAAACGCTACGTCCCAGAGGCAACCAGCGATAAAGTTTGCCTTCTGCCGGTGAGATTCGAGTTCAGGGGTCAAACGATCTTCTGGGTATTTTATTCCTCCAGGTACGTTATGTGGCATTCACGTGTGTACGGAGTTAACAACGTGGCTTGAATGGTAACCCCTTTAAGTTCGAGTCAGAGCTCATGTACCGACTTTCTTTCTTGCCGTACTCTTTGCTGGATAAGATTCCAATTGTCCTTCTTCTCTCCCAAGAAGTTGACCTAAAACTGACCGTCGAAATACCGGTGAGTCATAGATGAGGCATACAGGCAGATGCAAAATGAATCTCTCGCAGAGACAAGAGAATAAGGATTCAAAACGAAGAATAGTAAGCTCCTTATTATAATTTTTCCTTTTATTATTCGTGTTCATGTCATTATTGATCGTCTAAGTTTACTTTATAATTGGTGCGCTGTTTGAAGGTGGAAAAAAAGAGAAAGTCGTGTTGGCAGATGTAAAATGGACGTCATCTCTAAATGGAAATATGCTAATCATTTAGACGTTTGAAAGT